ATCAACTATCATCACGTGAACATTCAGGTGCTCACCTCAGTACACTTATCACTGTGGCTCCAGAATGACAACCGCATTAAAAATTAACATCAACCCTTCTTCAATACACTCATCACCGTGGCTGCATAACAATAACATCATTAATACATTAACATCTACTATGCGATTACTGCCACTCAAATCTTACATTAAATATGACTACTTATGACTAGGCTGACGTTAACTGTCACGTTTCACCCCAAAACGTTGCAGTTATCCATCGCTATAGTGAACTACAACATTTATAAAATGTTCAGTTAACATTTGTGCTACAAATTGTTACAAAGTGAACACCTTTTTGTTCAAGTTGTATAGTTAACCTCGAAGGTCCATGATTAAAAAAAATATGTTCGGGGTCTGGCCCAGAAATATTCTGGCCTTTTTTTCTACCAACTAATTCTCAATAAAATATGGTTCCCCAAGATTCCCCTGGAAATAACTTTTAGAAATAAGATTCCCACTAGAATATTTTCACTGGGAACCTTATTTCTAACAGTTATTTCCTGGGGAACCTAGGGGAACCATATTTTATTGAGAATTAGTTGCTAGAAAAAAGGCTCCCAGTAGAAATACGTGCAATAAAATAGGTTCCCCTATAGGTTCCCCTGGAAATAACTTTTGAAATAAGATTTTCACTGGGAACCTTATTTCTAACATTTATTTCTAGGGAAACTAGGGGAACCATATTTTATTGAGAATTAGTTGCTAGAAAAAGGTAAAAATAAAGCCCAGCGGTGTGGCGAGTAAACCAAGTAGCAGGCAGACGTGCCTCCTGGCTTGTAGAGGGAAATGTAGAACCCATCGTACAGCCCTCGCAGCTCCAGCATACCCTGGCTTGTAGAGGGAAATGTAGAACCCATCGTACAGCCCTCGCAGCTCCAGCATACCCTGGCTTACAGTACATTTGGGAGCCGCAGAGAAACATGCCACGAATTTTGTTTTTTGCCTCAATGCACACCTGCAATTTAATGGGAGATAATCTATCTAAAAAGGGGATAATGTAAAATTATTTCCTTTTGATAAGCAGTGATAGTGTCCAATGCAACATTTATTTCTAATATTGTGATCACTTCCTTTCGAAAAGAAATCTTCCGTTGCAATCTGCAATTCATCACATTTGCGGAAAAAAAACTTATCGTCTGCAGGAGTGGAGTACTTTTTATAGCTCGATCAATATGTGATTAACAAGTGACTAAAAAATCAATTTGGGGGAATCCCTGCAGGTTAATTCTCCTTCACAAAAAATGAAAGCAATCAACAGTTTTCTCACACTGTATAGCTATCAACAACAGCCCCTCCCCAACAACAGCCCCTCTACGTCAATCTATTGATCAATGCTTACAAAAATTCATCATCGATTAAAAAACGTAATTACAGCGCACGTGTGAAGAATTAATTTAAAGGAAAGCCTGGGACATTTTTAATGCAGTATATCAATAGCGACTCGTTGTAAATTTATGTTGAAATATAAGAAAAAATTTATGAAAGCTCGCTATGAAATAACAATAAATTTGTCGTCTATATATTAATAATAACCTGGAAGGTACTTGCAATCTTTGACTTCTTTTTCGTATATATCGGCCTTTTGCGGGGAAGTTCATAGATGTTAAGGCTAACCTCGTGAGGATTTATATCGAAGTAATTCAAGCAAAATACATAATTAATTTCAATAAATTTATATCATTACTGTTAACTTAAATGCGCTATTTGAAAAAATAATCGAACCCTAATTTCCTTAGTTACATGTGTATTTAAATCCAATTAGAGCCAGTAATTTTACTCGCAAACATTTCTTAGTGAGGGCGATAGAATTTGTCTTTAAACTTCACATTCAAAATGAGTACGAATTTGTATGATTTAATATGATTAGGAATTGAATTTTTCCTAGTTATTAGGAATTTCACATTTGATTGAGATCTGAATTATTATTATTATTTTATAATGCTTTACAAAGAAATCCTGAGTTCATAGAACAATGCTTGAGTTAGACCGCATAATTTTCATTCTATAACGTTCATTTGAATACCAATTAAACGATATAACGATTATTAGGTCCCATAACGTCGTGTACGATTTTCTGTGTTCGATGAATGTGATGACGTTGCTGTCAAAATAATTCAAAAGATATATATATGTATGTTGGCGAACAGGCGTATGATTATATTTAAATAAATTATTGTTGATGCTTTCAGGGGTGCGTCAGCTTACTAATTGACAGTAGATTTTCAGTTTTATTTGAACATATATTCCAATTATAACTTTTATATGCGTTGATACTTATATGTAAAGCCAATCATCAGCGGAAGCTGTTCCAACAGCACATCTTGTAAACGTCCACGATGCCATCACTAAATTTGATTCAACCTTCGAAATCAACCTTCAACCCATCAATCAACTTCCAAAAGTTGCCGGGTAACAAGCAATGACTTCAATACATACAAATCAGCACAGTATAGGGACAGTGTCCAATATTTGGGCTCAAAAGCCATCAACAAAGTGGGTCAACACAACCCGCGCTGGCTCGTCACGTAAGATGACGCTTCTTATACATGAAGGCAGTGATAAATATACATAGGCCTATTTAATAGGTCTATTTATATAATAGGCTCGTTTTAACTGGCTATTTTCAATTTATGCTATATTCAATACGTCGTTCAATATGGGTCTATAAGGTTCCATTTAATTTTCGTAGATTTTAATATTAAGATGCAAAATCTAACACACAACATTTACACATTCGTTAAGCTAATACATATATAATATGTACGAATATACCAGCTTGGGACTCTGGTTATACAACAGCCGCAGGCAGCCCAGCTAGTGCCACATCACCATGACTCGTCAAACGCGCTGAGATGATGAGGAAAATATGGTGACTATAGATCGTCAACTTTATAAGAAGATGATTAGCAATAGCATCACCAAGCCCACCACTTGAGTTCTCACCGCCAAGTGCAGCCATGCGCTAAATAAGCTCGTTATTAAGTAGGACAACCGTTAGTAATTCTAAACTCACAGGTTATATGCATCACTGTTCAAAATAAACGGTAGAAAAACAGTCTCACCGGTGTTCTAGTGGTCGGCCGCCACGTAAAGAAAACGGTAATCCGTTTTTTCCAGATGTGGTACGGGTTTTTAGTGTTAAATCTGAATAAAAACGCCCATATGGTGTTTCTTTTCACGTGTCGGCCGGCCACAAGATAGCCGGTGAGACCGTTTAACGGAGATTTTTCTTACAGTGAACCTATTAGATTTATTTAAATATTTTTGCTAACAACATCAACACCTAAAGTGTATCAACAAGAAAATCTTGCATTCTATTTACCAACTATCACTATGGAGCAAATAATTATCTCAGAAGTTGAGCCTACGACATCACGAGTCACATTACTCAGCAGGTGACCAATTATGGGGAAGCTACATGACCTCAGTATGAGGCTCAAACTTCTTTGTTCTCATCGCAAATTTATGACCGTGGCACATGTGGCACTGAAGTGTAATCGCTATTCAAAAAGGGGATAATCTGAAATTATTTCCTTCTGATAAGTAGTAATAGTTTCCATTGATTTCAAACATTTCGGATCCCTTCCTTTCATGAAGAAATCTTCCGCCGTCATCTGCAATTGAATGTTCGTGCATACATTCCTTGTCGCATTGATTATTTTATTATAAGCATAATACCAGCCATCACATTTATAATTAGTACCGTGTGTAGATTTTCAGTTTTATTTGAACAAATTTTGACAGCGGCTTAATTCGATATATTTTCACCAAGAATATTCTGACGTGAAGTAAGGAATTGATATTACACGATTATTTGAAATATCAGACGTGAACTACCTGCACCACTTCTAGTCACAATTTTTCTATAGCTTAATCTTTAGTCTAAAGAATTTTAGTTTTTAATCTAAAATCTAAAGAATTATCTGACTGTATATTAAATTTCACAATCGAAGTCAGGATGGATAACCGAATTTTTACTCGTATCCTCTGCGTAAAAAGGATACTTTTGTGACAAGCAAATTACCCGGAAAGCACGTTTCAAGCAGGACTAGGTAAAAATTAGCAGGAAGCTCAACGTCGACGCGCGTCAAGCCAACCGGTACCGGTATGAACGTGTGCTTACTCACACGCGTCGCTCTCTCGCTCTCTGCCCATGATGCCGAGCAGCTGTGCTTTACAAGGAAGAGGAGCCGCTGTTGACTACGTCAACGTGCCTTTTGAGTTTAGATAAATGCGGCAACTTGAGAATATTGTAAATCTAATGGAACACACTTAATCGACCCATACAATTTATACTTAATAATAGATTAACTGACTAAGTAGTCTCAATTGATCGCAATATATCCAACACAGCCAGTTGGTGCATACGCGAAATTCTTTTAAATTTACGCAACATTTCAGGTGAACATGAAAAATTGGATTCGCCGTCATGTATGGAAAAACTGTATTTATTGCAATCAAATTTTTTCTTTGTTTCTCGGACAATTATATCAGGAACAGTCTGATACATGCCCAGTGGCTCCACTTTGGCTCAATAATTTTGTGAACACCTTGCTTCTCTGTTAGCTTTATTGGTGCCTACCTAGTTCACGCAAAATTTTCTTAACATAACTAATTCTTAAAAGCCAAGCACACAAAACGAAGTCATGGTTTCGTCTTGATCTCGAATGACCCGCAATCCAATTAAACCTTTCTACGTTTGATAAATTACTGTGGCAAATACCTTCGTGCATTGTGTAGGCAAACGGTTTTCAGTGGCTTAAAAGAGATTTGCCTGCAATGTGCCATCGATTATTCAGACCTTACAAATCAGCGATGATTCATAGATGACTGCCACCTTTACTCGCCACCCTTTCGATTTATTGATGTTTTATTGTCGATTTTTGGCAGATCTGGCCACTCACCGTTACGCCACCTATAAACTACTATCGCCACCTATTATCATCGGTGCACCACCCTTAATTTTTATTTGGGTCGTGAGGCTTGTGCCCTCCGTAGGCCTGAGGGGACGGCGAGGCGCACGGGGACGGTCGGGGACTCAGCGACGGCCACACGTCATCTTCGTCCCCAGCAGCGTTGAAGGCCGTCACCTGCGTGAGGCCGTCCGCCAGGCTCGCCTTGTACTGCTCGTCAACACGTCATCTCAGTGAGGCCCGTACCTCACGTCGTGGCCTCGGTCGTACATGCTTAAAACGCGACTATATGAACTATGAGCTTAAAATGCGACCATGAACTATTAGCTTAGAATGCTAACATGAACTATGAGCTTAGAATGCGACCACGAACATCAACTTGGTTAATTACTACACGTCTACACGTCGTCTGAGTGAAGGCACTTACCTGGCTTTTTGATGAAAGTCATGGTAGCCAAAAATATGGCCGTTCCTGATTACAGAAACGCTGAAACTTTAAATAGAAGCTGATAGTGCTTGACTGCACCAGCTGATCGACAAACTATATACTCATTTGCCTCGTAGCAACTATAACTTTTGTCCCTGATTATTTACACTCAACAGCCTCTGATTGACGATGTCACTTGTCTAAATCCCAACAACAAACCTGACTGCGCCTGCGGACCGATTTAGTTGTACTGAGCTGCATCATCGTTGATCAGTTCATCGTTTCAATGAAGTACATATTAGATCAGTAATTCTTTATTATAATTTATAGGTATGTTGTAAATTCTTCATTGTAATTTGCAGTTCTGTAATTCATGTATGTCCAAAAGCAGCTGTCCCGGCCAGTCAAATTTGCTGTAGTACCTGTCAAACTGCTGCTGTTGGTGACGTCACACACACCTCGGCACTGAGACACGGACATGATGCCACAAACCTGTCCCCGCCTGCAGTCTACTATGCATTAAAAATAAATCTTATAGTAGACAGCCTGGTAGACTAACTGATAAAAGGACAACGGAAGTAAAGGACAGAGTGAAAGAGACAATAAAAAACAGGAGAATAGGAATGCGCATTGCACATATTTTAAACTTTGAAAAAACTCTTGAACTATAAAAGTGGATACAAACTTTTAAACTAGAAGAAAAACTATAAGTATCAGGGGCTGAGATCAAATGAAAAGGTTGCTGTGGGAAGCCTTGGTTCTAAAATTTTAAGCCAATATGAGGTCAGTATCTCAGTGGCAATTGTCGTGATTGATTGGTCGGCAATCGATTCTTAGTTTCTTTTATTTTTCAAGCTATGAGCTCTCCTAGACTATCTTCCCTATTAAGGAGTTTAACCAAGAGTTGGATTCCTCCAGTGGTAACTCCAAATTTTCATAGGTTACATTCAACGATTCTCCTCACACGCCTAATAACAAAGGACTGTTTTTTTGACATGCGAAGCAAAAACAGCCATGACCGGCCGTAAGTTCCAAATTTTCGTGCAATAGATTGACATCGCCCAATCAAACCCACAAAGCTTCACGAAACGCAAGTACGCACCACGAACCATTAAAATATTGAATGAGGCATTGCGCTTGAAACTGAAACAAGCGGGACTGCGCAGCTGAAACGAATCAGTTGGGACTGCACAGCTGAAACAAAAATAAGTGGGACTGCGCAGCTGGAACGAAAACAGTTAGGACTGCGCAACTGAAACAAAAACAAGTGAGACTGTGTAGTTAAAACAAAAACAAATATGTGAGTGCGCAGCTGGAGTGAAAATAAATGGGTCTGTACAGTTGAAACGGAAACAAATGGAAGTGCTCAGGTGGAGCGAGAACAAGTGAGACAGTGCAGTTTTAATGAGAATTGGTAGAAATTCGTAACTGCAACAAAATCGTGAATTCATTCTTACAGTTACCATCCAAACTCTTTTATGTGAACGTAGCAGCCTGCGTACATGTAGCGGCCAATTTTACGTTTATGATTAGTGGGATTAGCTTGAAAAGCCGTCAGTAATTGGCAGATAGAGTGTAACTATATTTTTTATTACCAGTCCTGCATTTCACATAAGTAGGTCTTGGATCATATATGCAGAGTGGCGCGGTCATCAGCCGCCGCTGCCGCCACTTCTTGCGTAGCACCGCCACCACCTGCGTATAAACGCAAACATTGCGTCATGCATCGTAACGCGCAGTCGACGAATAGAACAACGTATTATATGACACGAAATATTTTCGTTAATGCCATCATTTCGTCATGTGATGATGTCACGATGTAACTGTAAGGGGCTCCTGTGGGGTAGACCATCCTCGTGGGGTACACCCACGCCGTGACAATTTCACAGCAGCCAGGGTTTCAAAGCACAGTGTTCTTTGCGACCGGGTATAGCGAAGTGAGTCTCTCTATACACATATTCATGCCTAAATGTCGTTGTTTTGGTGCCTCATTTTATATATTAATAGCACATGGGCGACTAAACCCAGAGTATATCCGTGTATTTAACTCGCAGTCTATGTTTTTCATCCGTAGGAAAGCTCCAGTTCCAAGTTCATGACAGAAGTGCCCTTAATTACTCGAGTTTGGCTCGTTTTATGCAGATAGAAATAGATTTTTACACCTAATAAATAGTTTCAATAAATGTTTGGTCCCAAGTTATGATCGTATATGCCAGTCAATATTGCAGGCATCCGTTGCGACGGCCCACAACGGTCCAAATGCGCACATCGCGTGAGTGATGTGCTGCTGACGCTTAAATGTAGACTTTCAATCATGAAACTTCGAGCAAAATAATTTATGAACATTAATTCTGGTGGCAGAGAGATCGCTCGACGCGTGCATTGCGGCGCAGCAGGGTGGCCGTGGCTGGAAGTCAGCACTGAAATATAATATTCTACCACAACCAAAACCAATTCCTCGTCGTTTTTTTTAAATAGAAGAGTCAGAATCATGATTTTTACAACAACCTTCGCTTTGCACTTAGCCCTGGGGGAAAAAATTGAACATTGTTTGAATTGAAAATCTAAAATATATATATATACATAAATAACAAGATCGAGCGTGTCTTATCTGAAGTCATCTGAATTTTATCTACCGTCATCTGAAGAAAAGTTCCACTCCCTGATAATATAAACCAACGAATTGTCTGGTCATCAATCGTACGTGTGTAAACAAATAAATCCTGTCATATAATAATAAAATAACAAGATGTATATGAATTCAGAATTTGAAATTTCAGAAAAGCTCCGGCATGCGCTGATAAATAAAACTCACTTAACTGCCTAGTTGCTTTCCAGCCAACAACAACCAATTCTGTTCAGATATATGGGCTTTTGCCTTTTCAAAAATTTTCCCTATCAGCGAGTGCGCTCATAATTCAATATTCAGGAACACGAATATTAAATGAGAGATGTTAGACAGGTGTCACTGTTATTTTTATCTGACCAAAAAAGTTGAATTTTTTAAGTGACGACTTGAATTCGATACGCGCTTTTAAATTGCGCATTGGGTATTTTTACAAATGGGCAATTTGGCATGGACCTACATTACCAAATATTCCAGAAGATGATGACGTAATTTGTACAGTAACTTTTAAACAAGTTGACCATAACCAATTAATTCATTTAAATTCAATTCTTATTATGTTTGTGCTTCATTTCTAAGTCAAACAAAAGCAGATCACACAAACACGAACTCATTAACTTCATGAACGGAATTAATATTATTTTTTTGGGGTTAAATTTCATGAACAGGCACAGTCTTCGAATCTACGCAAAATATGCAAATTCTACGGCAAAAACTTATGCCAATTGAGAAATGGCAAACAGAGCCTATCGGTCAGCCTTGACAATCCGAAGTGTTTGCTTGAGACTCAGTGACAGGTTGTGGAAGTTAAAAATTGAACTTTCACGAATACTGGGACGGAGCATCCTTGACTTCTTTAAAATGAAAAGGTTTGCTTTACTTTTACGATGGTTTCATATAATATAGCTGAAAGCAAATTTATGCGGAAATTCATACGCGATAGCTTAGAGTTAACAGCCTACGCTCAGAAAATTTAATGAGTCAAATATACCCGCAGCATGAACGAGACGTGACAGTGCATTGCTATTTAGATAAACTATCACTCACTTCTCTGAGTGTAAGATGTGCTTCACATATTCATAATGGAAGTATTTATGAGATAAATATTATAATGGTGAGTAATGAACGGTCCAGTGCTGGTCGTTTGATCGCGTCACGGTCCAGTGGTGGTCGTTAACCGTCCAGTGGTGGTCGTTTGATCGCGTTACGGTCCAGTGGTGGTCGTTGATCAAGCTACGGTCCAGTGTTAATCGTTTGATCAAGCTGCGGTCCAGTGGTGGTCGTTTGATCGCATCACGGGCCAGTGGTGGTCGTTTGATCGCGTTACGGTCCAGTGGTGGTCGCTTGATAGCGTTACGGTCCAGTGGTGGTCGTTTGATCGCGTCACGGTCCAGTGGTGGTCGTTTGATCGCGTCACGGTCCAGTGGTGGTCGTTTGATAGCGTCACGGCCCAGTGGTGGTCGTTTGATCGCGTCACGGTCCAGTGGTGGTCGTTTGATCGCGCCACTGTCCAGTGGTGGTCGTTTGATCGCGCTACGGTCCAGTGGTGGTCGTTTGATCGCGTCACGGTCCAGTGGTGGTCATTTGATCGCGTTGCGGTCCAGTGGTGGTCGTTTGATCGCGTTACGTTTGTGCGAGATCATTCGGAGATAGAAAATAACTAAATAGTTACATTGTTAATTTAAGCATCTGCTTGGCATTCAGAATTCCGTAATTTAGGAACAGTCGTTACAAGTTGTACTTCTGAGGGCGAGAAAATATCTCAATTGCTCCACAAAAATAAAATTCAAGTTCAATTCTTCGTTGATTGGATCAGAATCGCCTACCCATTTTTTGCGAAGAATTTCCTCTGCGCATGAAAATCGCGAAATATGTGAACTATTGGAACAGCCAATATATACAAACAAAATAAGAAATCTGTTCTATTTTAGAATTTAGAATATAAGTGCACTATTCACAGAACATCGTCTTCAATTCTACCTCTTTAGTAGCAATACGAATCGCTTTTCAAAAAATTTATGCAATCAGTCTCATATTTTCAAGATTAGCCTCATCAGTTGCTAAAATGACAAGTTTTATTAGCCCATCGTCACGGCGCACTGAGAACAATTAAATAGGCCATATTGTCCAAATTGTTACACACTTTCTGCAAGTAGCACTGATACACCATTTCATCGGTCCAAAGTGGGTCATGATGAACCTCGCAAGGGCGAAAGGTGCAATACTATTTCACTAGTCTTTCACATTTCTCTGGGTACAACTCACACATTTCTCTGTGTGTAGTGTTTCCGGAAAGATGTTTCATGAACGCTTCGGTAACTCAAATAAGATAGGGATTACGCCGATAAAAAATTTGTGTCAAGGCTTTTATGTACAGAAAAATTGATTGGTCATTTTGTCCAAATAACGAGACATTTCATTACCCATGCACAGCATGAACAGAGAGAAATAGTAACACAAAGACGCTCCCCTTTTTCGGATCTAAACTGGGTCTGGTCAGGGGGGAATAGTAGGTTCTCATCATTTGTACGAAGTACAAATAGTGATGAAATAGTACTACACTCATTATAGTATCAATAGTACTACACTCAAATAGTATCCACTCATTATTATGAGTGTAGACGGTGAAGAGCCACTCACCTCGCCGTTGAAGAAGCAGAAGAGCAGCGACACGGCGAGGCCCTGCACAGCAAACAAGGACATTAATCTCCTCAACTTTGATGAGCCGCAGCACCAGCAGGCAGGAGCTGCAAGACTCTTCAGCAGCCGTGCTCTCATAAATACTTTCTTGATAATGTTCATAACTTCGTCAGCCAATCAGTGACGGCTTTTTAGGAAAAACTAACCAATCATAGACGAGAAATCGGCGATTAGGCCATTACTTGGGCTGCTGCGTGTACTTAGGCCGCTACGTGTACTTAGGCCGCCACGTGTACTTAGGCCGCTACGTGTACTTAGGCCGCCACATGTACTTAGGCCGCTACGTGTACTTAGGCCGCTACGTGTACTTGTGTACTTAGGCTGCTACGTGTACTTAGGCTGCTGCATGTACTTAGGCCGCTACGTGTACTTAGGCCGCTACGTGTACTTAGGCACCAATAAGCAATAGCACTCCTTTAGATTTTTCCAGAAATATTCATTGTCGCTTCATGAGAAACTATGTCAAACTGATATAATAGGTCGATGTCAGCGCGGCAGTGAACTAGAGTAGCACTCATTCACTGCCATCCTTCAACACCATCTGACCTTGACCTTGACCTTGACCTTGACCCGTCTAAGCCGCAAGTTATGGCTACCTCTAAACGCTAGCAATAAATAAGGTGCGATTCCTATGCCGTATATCTGAAGGCGACAATCCAGTTGTTTTTTTATTGAAGAAAAAGATTCGCGTTTAATATAAAACTGACTTATTAATTTTACCAATCCACCTAATTCATGGCATCTCTAAATTCTAAAAATATCCATAAATTATTAAATGAAAAGTATTGCCAATTACGTATTTGAAATTATGAGAATCATTTGTGAAGTTTGAGCGTATAAACACAATAAGTTGCAGATCGCGTCATGGTCCAGCGATGGTCGTTTGATCGCGTCACGGTCCAGTGGTGGTCGTTTGATCGCGTTACGTTTGCGTGAGATAATTCGGATATAGAAAATAATTAAATACTTGTTTAATTACATTGTTAATTTAAACATCTTGTCGGTATTCAGAATTCCGTAATTTAAGAAGAGTCGTTACAATTTGTTCTTCGGAGGCTGAGAAAATATCTCAATTACTCCAGAAAAAGTCAAATTTAAGTTCAATTCTTCGTTGATTGAATCGGAATTACCAACATATTTTGTAAAGATTTTCCTATGCATGAAAATCGTGCAATATGTGAACTATTGAAACAGCCAATATATATGAACAAAAAAAACCTGTTCGATTTTTGAAATTAGAAGAGAGGTACTCTATTGTCAGAACATTGTCGTCAATTAACCTTATCGTCACGGCGCACGGAGAAAAATTAATGGGCCATATTGTCCCAATTGTGACACACTTTCTGCAAGTAGCACTGATACGTCATTGTATCGGTCCAAAGTGGGTTATGATGACCCTCGCAATGACAGAAGGTGCATTACTATTTCACTCATTCACTATTTGCATTACATTTCAGTCATGCTATTTCACTAGTCCCTCCCCTTTCTCTGGGTACAACCCACACATTTCTCTGTGTGTAGTGTTTTGGAAAAATGTGCCATGAGCGCAGCGGTAACTCAAATAAAACAGGAATACGTAAAAAAATCCTCTCATAGCTTTTAGACACAGAAAAATTGATTTGTCATTTTGTCCAAATAGTGTTACATTTTATTACACACATCACGAACAGAGAGCGATGGTTACACAGATACGCTCCCCTTTTTCAGGTCCAAACTGGGTCTGGTCAGGGGTGAATATTACATCAGTATTTGTACGAAGTTCCATTCATTATTATTAGTGTAGACGGTGAAGATAGCAACTCACCTCGCCGTTGAAGAAGCAGAAGAGCAGCGACACAGCGAGGCCCTGCACAGCAAACAAGGACATCAATCTCCTCAACTTTGATGAGCCGCAGCACCAGCCCAGCTCTTCAGCAGCCCAGCTCAGCACCAGCCCAGCTCTTCAGCAGCCCAGCTCAGCAACAGCCCAGCTCTTCAGCAGCCCAGCTCTTCAGCAGCCCAGCTCTTCAGCAGCCCAGCTCTTCAGCAGCCCAGCTCTTCAGCAGCCCAGCTCTTCAGCAGCCCAGCTCTTCAGCAGCCCAGCTCTTCAGCAGCCCAGCTCTTAAGCCTGTCTCTTATACACATCTAGATGTGTATAAGAGACAGTACTTAGGCCGCTACTTGTACTTAGGCCGCAACGTGTACATTGACCGCTACGTATACTTAGGCCGCTACGTGTACTTAGGCCGCTACGTGTACCTAGGCCGCTACGTGTAATTAGGTCGCTACGCGTACTTAGGAAGCTACGTGTACTTAGACCGCTATGTATACTGAGGCCGCTACGAGTACTTAGACCGCTACGTGTACTTCAGGCGCTATGTGTACCTATAGGGCACTTCGTGTACTTAGGCCCGCAACAACGTACGACCATGAGCAAACTTCAAATCTTAACGACCTGAGCATTAGTATTATTCATTGATAAATCGTTAAACCAATAGGCAATAGCATTCCTTTAGATTTTTCCAGAAGTTTTCACTGACGCTTCATGAGAAACAAAGTCAAACTGACATAATAGGTCCATGTCAGGGCGGCAGTGAACTGGAGTAGCAATAAATCACTGCCGTTCATCAACACCATCTGACCTTAACCTTGACCTCGACCTTGACCCGTCTAAGCCGCACCATCTGCTTGATTTCAGCATTCAGAAAAAAGAACGAGTAATAATGTGCAAATATTGACACAGCTTCTTGCTCACAGCGTGAGCTCTGAGCGGTTAAGCTCTGATACCCTCTTTTGCAGGGCCAAACTACGTCCGAATTATGGACGTAGTTGGCCATAATTACTACGTGGCCATAATTACTACGCGAAATTATGGCCACCTCTAAACACTAGCAATAAATAAGGTGCGATTATTCCATTGCCGGTGTAACTGAAGCCGACAATCAAGTCTTTTTAAGAAGAAAAAGATTCGCGCTTAATAGAAAACTGACTATTAATTTTACCGCCCCACCTACTTCATGGCATCTCTAAATTCAAAAACATCTACAAATTATTGAGGAAAACGAAATGCCAATTGTGTTATTTGAAATTATGAGAATCATTTGTGAAGTTTGTGTGTATAAACACACAAAATTGCTCCATATACGGATCAAGTGGTGTTCGAGCACTTTTCATGAACAGCGAAAAGAGAAGCAGAAGAATTTATATGTTAGCAACAAAGAACTCATTCTGTACTGCCATATTGCTTGAAATCACAACAAGAATACTCATATTCTCATATGACGAACTTTTCCAGGCTATGTTCCTAACTTTGATTCGTCATAAAATCACATCGATACATCTCATTTCCGAATATCAAGAATTTCAGCGTCAATGCTATGAATTTTGAATTTGAACTATGATCAACCAACGAAAAATCAAAAGTTAAACCATCATCAAGACATGGCTAATCAAATCTACAACCGTAAACGTCAGCGATGCATGTGGCGGCAGAGACCAAAGCTGCGGTGTAACTAATTAATACTGACGTTGTGCAGTTCTTAATATACGGTGAACAGTGAATCGAGAAGCCTTCACAAGTAATTGAAATATCGCAGTTTCGCCACCACAAATTGTTAAGGAAATACCGCAATCCCGCGACCATAAATTGTGAAGGAAATACAGCAGTCTCGACAACACAAATTGTGAAGGAAATACCGCAGTCCCGCCACCAGATATTGTGAAGAAAATACCGCAGTCTCGTGACCACAAATTGTGAAGAAAATTACGCAGTCTCGCCAACACAAACTGTGAAGGAAATACCGCAATCTCGCGACCACAAATTGTGAAGAAAATACCGCAGTCTCGCCAACACAAATTGTGAAGGTAATACTGCAGTCTCGCGACCACAAATTGTGAAGGAAATACCGCAGTCTCACCACCACAAATTGTGAAGGTAATATTACAGTCTCATCAACACCCTTTGCGATGGAAACTCTGGTCTTTCACCCATAACCGTCATGATTTAAGCACACTTTACGCGATTGAAGCTCAGCCAATATTTTCGCCGTAATTTTTATCACTGAAGTTTTCATGCTATAAGCTTGCGTTTTGAGAGCTGAAGGTCGTGAACGGAGGCGAAAACCTGTAACAATAAATGCTATCATATTAAGATATTTGCTAAAATGTAGGATGCTTTGTCAAGTATGAAACGACTGAATGAAGACGACCATTATTAATGATGTCATTAACGCGGAACCGGAGGTGCAGTCCGCGATTTCGATATTTCCACGATTTTTCTCCACAAGCGATCTTAAAAATTTAATTATACAATACATGATAAAATCAAAGTACGTAATGAAAATTAGTAATTGCATTATTGCATTAATTGTTGATTTAATAATTGAACTGTTTTTAACGCCCAGTGTGCTCTAAATTCTAGTTATTTTTTCCCAAGTTTGCCGTGAGTGACGCACGAGTCTCTGTAAGCCGCGACGCGCATCAATCATCAGCACAGGCGCGTCGACCAAGTTTTTATCTTGCCAAGTTCAGAGATTGTGATGAGATTGCGGCTAAATTGAGGGGATTGCGTGGTTATCGTGTACAATCAGCCATTAGAGTTAATATCACAGTCTCGCCAACACAAATTGTGATGTTAATATCACAGTCTCGTCAACACAAATTGTGATGTTAATATCACAGTCTCGTCAACACCCTTTGAGATGGAAACTCCGCCCTCTCACCCATAATCGTTATGATTTAAGCACACTTCACGCGATTGAAGCTCAGCCAACATTTCCGCCGTAATTTTTATCGCTGAAGTTTTTAATGCTAGCGTGCGTTTTGAGAGCTGAAGGTCGCGAACGGAAGCCAAAACCTGTAGCGATACATGCTATCATATTAAGATATTTGCTAAAATGCAAGAAGCTTTGTCAAGTTTGAAACGACTGAATGAAGACGACCATTATTATTGATGTCATTAACGCGGAACCGGAGGTGCAGTCTGCGATTTCGATGTTTCCGCGATTTTTCTCCACAAGCGATCTTAAAAATTTAATTATACAATACATGATAAAATCAAAGTGCGTAATGAAAATTAGTAATTGTATTAATTGTTGATTTAATAATTTAACTGTTTTTAACGCCCAGTGTGCTCTAAATTCTAGTTATTTTTGCCCAAGTTTGCCGTGAGTGACGCACGAGTCTCTGTAAGCCGCGACGCGCATCAATCACTAGCACAGGCGCGTCGACCAAGTTCTTATCTTGCCAAGTTCAGAGATTGTGATGAGATTGCTGCTAAATTGAGGAGATCGCGTGGTTATCGTGTACAATCAGCCATTAGGAGGTTATAGTGACGAGGCAGCTTCGTAGGAAGCTTGACTCAATAGTGAGCAGATTATCTTTTAAATATTCCCTAAAGGAGGCATACAATGTTTAGGCGGTAGCCATTTACGCAGAAAACATGTATCCAGGAATATCTAATTGTTGTTCCTGTAGCATAAATACTAAAATAAATTCAAAATAGATCACTTTTTGCACTGAAATATTTGAAAATGTTGTTTAATTTGTTCAAATTGGAACAAAAATTAGTTCAACAATTATTGACTAATTTTGGAAGCCTGAATTAGTGGGTTATAAATTTTGCATTTAATGCTAGGGCTCCTGATGATAAGACCGCGTAGGTGTCTCAACGTAGGGCAGAAATATGAATTCCCTAAACTGAACAGCAGCGAACCCAAATCTATTAAACCATTAAATTCTACATGGATATGGTGAAATCTAACTTCATGATAGGCAATATAGACTCAGGCAAAATTCTAATAAATAAATTCTATCGGCCTTGATTTACAAGCAACTCAGAATAGGCAAATATTAAGTATAGAGAAGTGTATAGTTTTCATAGAGAGCTTTGATAAATACTTTTCAAACGGTCATTGCCAGAAATCTTAAATATGGAAAAGCCACATTAGGCTTTTTTCATAAAATTATGTTAAACCTGAAGGCATCTTTCTAAATGGATTTCAAACTGCCTTGAATATGAAGAAACTGCCCCGAACACGAAGCTTTGAATAAATCCTTATCAAAATGCCTAAATTGATATTATAATCACTTATTTCTATCCTGCTTAGTGCTTAACTTTTCATCATTTCTGGAAGAGGATTACCTCCAGCGTAGGGAATATTTCCCTACACATTCTACTCGTGGAAGACTTCAATAAATATTATATTGAGATCATGACCTGGAAGGACGAGACGATGGCGGAGAGGATGAGGTAGGACTTCTCCATGGCGGAGCCTGATGAAGGCCTGAAGGGCGTCAGGAGATAGTGAAGGCCAAGCAGGGGAACCAGGATGAGGGTTGCCCTCACCGCCTGAGGGTTCAGAGGGAAGGTTTGACATGGTTAATGCATGAAATAAATTTAACACATTCCCCGCGTAATTGGTTATATGTGTACCAACATATTTAGATATTCCACTGCTGTGTTTGGTACAAGAGTGTACCAAACAAAAAATTTTATTTTCAATATAACACATATAAATCAGAATTTCGTCGGTAATCTTCCGGCTTTAAATTATTTGTGTTCGAACGCAAGGTTAATTATCGAATAAAACAAATCGATAAAACAAAATTCTATTGATAAAGCAGCAACCACTCAAAGCCTTCCGTAATAAAGCAATAGTGGTGAAATCCGGATACGCGAGGAACGCGTTAAGCGAACATACATAGCGGTATAAATCACTTGCTTCCATTGAACAAATGAATTCATTATCAAATTGTGCAAATAATTGAAAATATTCGATGATAGACAAAATGGTAACTGCGAGCCTCACTTCTTTCTTTGTGAATATACGAGAAATCAGAATGTTGAGCGAAGAGCTGGCCATCCGTGAAGCTGTATTCAAAGAGATGAGACAGACATTTTCAATATTAGAAGTAATATTAGACCCAAGCCCGTACGCTGCTCATTCTGTAGATATATGAGTGTTTCGCCAATTATCCCATTTGAATAATTTAACCCATTCATTTTTCCGAGAGTTACATAACTGTGTGAGATGTAAAATATTAGCTATCAATGCTCCATTCGAAAAGTTCCCACAGATAATATTTTCTCGGTTGTGACAGCGGCATGGTATCGTGTCACATGACTGCTGGGACTTAGGGCGGCGGAATGCCAAGGAGGCTCTCCAGCGTGGCTTGGGACTAAAGCGTCTCGAGCAACAACAATGAAACAAAATATTAAGCAACCAATAAATGGCCGGAACATGGATGTCATTTTGTTTTTACATGAAATATTAACGTTTTTCAAGTAAAAAAGTCACTAGATTGCTTTAATCGCAGATTCACTAGAAATTTAAAAGCGAAGAAAACACCACAAAAATTTAGCATATCTCTTTTGAAAACGTTTCGGAGACCAGCTCCATCGTCAGTTCGATAAATCTAGAACACAGATAAATGCAGAAAATTAGTTTGGAGTTAATAAAAAAAACACAAACAGAAGTTAAAAACCTAAATTTACAGACAAAGGGCAGAATAATAAAGTAAGTACCTATCTATTCACAATTTCTAATGGATAAGAACTATAGGCAGCATTTAAACTAGGCTTCTCTTTAAAAATATACAAGGATTCCAAAATACGCAGATCGGAAGCACCAGAACTATAAGCTAAAACCTTAAAGTCTGTGTCGGACACTGGAACGTTGCACTGTTCGGCGTGAGTGCGCACAGCCGAATGAGGAGGGCGCGATAGTAACTGCCCAGTCCTATAACTCCTACCTCTATGCTCAGCGACCCGAGTGTAAAAGTTGCGTGCCGTCATTCCGACATACGCAGATGCACACCGTGCACAACTAAATTTATAAACTAGGGACGATCGCATATGAGGAGGAAGGATATCTTTGTACCTAAAAAACGAACCTATTTTGAAATTATTCACTAGTAAGATACGAAGATTAATGTCCGGGAAGTATTTCATAAACAAAACTTTTAATTCTCTTGACATAACTTCGGACGCATGGCCGAAGTATGGAAGAGAACAGTAAACAACGCTTCTGCCATCAGGTTCTGGAACAACTTCACTGTATCGCTTAGACATGAATTTCTTAATCTGGGTAAACACCAAGCCAGAAGGAAATCCATTAAGCGA